ACTTCTGTTCTTCTAACCTATGACTCTGTAACCTCGAAACCGATTGAGGGCTTAATTGGCTTGAGCAACAGTCTATTCTCAATCGGCGCGTCGATCGGTCTTATGTGTCTCATTGGAGTTCCATATAACAATACAGTGACCGTTGTGCCATTTATAACGTTAGCACTTGCTGTTGACGACAGCTTCATCATGCTAGCTGCTTGGCAGCACACGGATATGAAGTTATCACCTAGAAAGCGAATGGGATTGACTCTGAAAGAGTCCGGGGCGGCGATCACGATGACCTTCTTGACAGATGTGTTCGCGTTCATTATCGGAGCGTTTTCTTCGACTCCGGCAATATCGGCGTTTTCCTATTACACAGTCGGATCGCTGGTTTTCGACTATTTGTATCAGCTGACGTTTTTCTGCGGTGCGACCGTGCTCGGTGGAGTCCGCGAGGCGAATAAGCGTCACTCGATACTCTTTTGGCTGCCGGCGAACAAGAGCCCGTTCTTCAAGTCGAGGCCGCAGTGCGAGACCTGCGAGAAAACCAGAAACATTAGTCCTGTGCATTACCACCTGCGGAAATTGTTCCCGAAATTACTCACCTACCTACCTTCGAAATGTATCATTATGCTCATTTACGTTGTCTACTTGGCGTTTTCATTTTATGGGTGTTGCATAATTGACATTGATTTAAGACCGAGTCACTTGCTTGTCAAGTCGTCTCCGCTGCAACAGTACATCGCACTGGCCGAAAAGTACGTTTTCGCACAGGGTTTCATTGCGACAGTTTATGTACAGAAGACGCCGGATTTGCGCAATGAAACGCAAATCACACAGTTTATGACGTTCGTCCATGAACTGGAATCAACTCCGTTTTCAGTTGGCAAAATGTCGACCGCGTTGTGGCTGAACGAATTCTTGAATTATCTCAGTTTTCTGGAGACTGACGTGTCAGAAACTTTCCTGTACCTCAATGACTTTTTTGAGATGTCCAGCAATTTCCACTGGCAATCGTGCGTGTTCCGCGACGGTGAAGACGGAAACGTTTCGAAGTTCTGTTTTATGACCGGCTTCAAGGTGGCCGAGTGGCGAGAGCGCGCCGACATGGTTCAGGCGTGGCGTCGCGTGCTCGCAAAGTACCCGCAGTACGAAGCGGTCGTCTATGAGGAGTACAACTTTTTGGCTGATCAGATCCTAACCATCAAATCGACTACGTTGCAGGAGGTGGGCATCGCGTTCATTTGCATGTGCTTAGTGTGCGCGTTTTTCATGCAGAAGCTGGATATCTTTTTCTGGGTACTGTGGAGTCTGTTCTCGATGGACATGGGCGTGATTGGCCTGCTCTCTTGGAGCGGCATCAATCTAGATCCTACCGTAATCGTGTCAATCCTGATGAGCATTGGACTGACAATTGACTTCACCGTACACATCGGCTACCACTACTACAAGATCGGCGTCAACGGCAACTACCACAAGCTACTCGAACTATTCGACGTCGCCGGCTGGCCGCTGATCGAAGGGGGCATCTGCACTCTGCTAGCGATGATAGCTCTCCTCTTCGTGCCGTGCTATGTCACGTCTGTGTTTTTTAGAACTATATTTTTCGTGGTGGCGATAGGCCTTTTTCATGGTTTAATCATTTTGCCCATTTTGTTCTCATTTACGCTGCAGAGGTACAAGCATGAATGATTGCGCGTTACAGTAAATATCACGGTATCACGGTACTTGGCGATTGCCATTTTTTTCAGAATTGCACACCTCGAGACCAATCCCACTGATGGTCCAAAACTGAAACCTGTCTTCCACCGCGGAAACCGAAAGGAGCGCGAAGTCGGTCACAATGTTCACCTGACGCGTCATGCTTTCGCTGTGTTCCTGCCAGCCACCGACACAGCGGACAAAGAACCAGTTTAACTCGCCGGTAGAGTCACGATTATCATCCGTGCTTACTATGAGGTCATATAAAAAGTTTTTACTTCCGTCAATGGTCCCAAACAATTATGCAAACTATGACGGACGGGTGTCTGTAGAGTTAAATATTGAGGGAGACGGTTTCAGTGATCAGCGTAATGCGCCTAGCTTGTTTCAAGTTCGAAGCTTCGCTATGATAACTTTATTCTGTAAGCGCTCAAGGCAACTTTTGTCTGCATATGTCCTTTTGTTACAGTAATTTTGTCTCGACCTTCCTTACTCATAACGCACCGATTGCACTCGCTGTAGCTTCCTGCTCTGGTCTGATTCGGTTGCAACAGTTCATTTTACATAAAAATGTTATATCTGTTTAACAAACGTTGAAAAAGAAAAGTAAAAGAAAGAGAAACCTCCTGAAGCGAACTCGCTCGGTAGTTTCTGTCCAAATACATTATGTTTATTAAAGCTAGAATCAAATATGCATTTTTCACAGCGGTCGATCAACATTCAATAACATTTACACGATTTTTTCAAATACATCCGTTCCTTCACTCCTGAATGTTAAATACTCTAAGGCGTGGTGGCACAGCGACAGAGGTCTGCTTTGAACTTCAGTCAAACAGGATCGGGAACGTTGGAAGAACTGTCTGACGCGTCTGCCTCCGCGACCTGAAAGTGAAGTGAAATTTAGAAAGTTGACACATTGCGTGAATCAAATGACGTTTTTCTGTAGACTTCACATTGATGGCAACCTATCTGGATAGTGACTCCTCGACTTTATTAATCAAAGTTGTTTTTCGAGCAACTTTTCCAAAATATAGATGATGTATAGGCATTCTACAGCACCAGCAGTATTTTTTACATTTTTAGACGATGTAATGAATCAAACACAAGTTTAAAATCGATGATCATGCCAAGGTCATTGAAATCACCGAATTATTAAATAGTGAATACGTTATTAAATGAGTCTACAAAGAGCGAAAATTTGGTACTGGTCTGGTCAAAATTCGATCTATGACATCATTATACCTTTGATTAAACAGCAAATCAAACCCAAATAACTGCCCATTGCAGCAAACCAGAATTATTCAACTTTGGGCTAACTTGAAGTTGAAGGATTACATCGCTCAAACGAATGCATCCTTTGACTAAACCGTCAGATCATCTCGGCCATAGCCGATGTGCAGTAGACTGAAGGTTGTTATGGTGGGGAGAAATATTTGTTGTTCGCCATCAACGATACATTTGGAATAAAAAACGACATTTCTTCATTGTCGCTGTTTACGCAGTATTGATTTTTTTCGTGAAAACCGCATTTCAACTTCGAATTCAACTTTCCTCTGGCGATTTTGTCACCTCATCTTGTTACCGAACAATAACGAGGTTGTGAGATTCGTGATTGTTTCCTGATTGCCCGAATTCTGTGCATAATCGATATAGAAGTATGTCCGACCGTCTGCTGTTGACTTTCCTACCAGAAATTCGTCAACAGATTCATAGTTGTGTATCCTTTATAGAAAGAGTAAATAGAACTCACTGAGTTTACAACATACCATGCGGCAAATAACGATTTGTTGGTGGCAGACTAATGCAAAGATTGATCAGCCTTTAACGTCGACGTTTCTGCCAGACATCCTTGTTTATCAACGGAATTTACATGGAATCGGATCGAATTCAATGTACCAATAGGTACTTATTTGTTGACTTTTGTTCTTAAGAACAAACGACAGGATAGATATCATTTTTCGATAGCGGCTGCATCCTACCGTTTTGAATGAAGAAAGCCTTGATAGTGAAAATTTGCTGTAACCTGAAGCAGAACTGCAAAGACATTAATTAGACTCGTTTGCCCCTCCAAAGACAGAATATGATAGGTATCATTCATTTTGTCCTACATATTTATTCCTGTCATGGGCGTTCACATGGAATCGATGATGGCAGCCCTATCGTGGTCTATTCTGTTGCATGACGAAACACAATTAATGACCGCCATGACTCAGACCGATATCCATTGTCACCACCATGACTCAGACAGATATCCCGGGTATAGCAGTAACTCAATAGTACTCAATTTGTTCCTGATTCTCAGATTCAGCTGTCCATCTGAGCGCTGATGAGTTCCAACCAAACGATCATTTTCACGGTCCTGCAACTCGCAAAGATGACGCTGGAATGAATGCCCTACAATCTATATGCAACAGTATTATCGTCCTGAAATATGGGTCCCAGAAACATCACGGACATAGAGACCAGAATAAATCCCCACAAGAGAAGAACAACTGTCGTCTCAATCAAAAGCGGTAAGCTAAACGTCGCAAAACTACATAAACCACAGAACTGCAACTGGCAAACGGTAGCCTTGCTAGCATCTCGCTATATATGACAGTGATTTTAGCAGCCATCAGTGTTAGTGGCAATGTTGGTGTCAAGCTTTCTGATTGTATCATGTGTTGCCAGAATAAAGGCTAACCAAAGCCATATATAGCCTAATTCGAAAGATACATAAATGACGTCATTACTGTCTACAAAACTGTAGATAAAATATCCGTTTCTAGAAAACTCGAACAGCCACTTCACACTGTAATCGAAATTGGAGAGACGACTCTGAAGGGGTGACATTACTGAATTGACTTAAACTGAATCTCATTCGCCTAATGAAGGTCACGCAAAGCCAGATGTGTAAACTGTAATTATGCACTACTTTTTCTTCAAAATCAGGAATGACCGTATTGCCTTAGACATTTGAGTTAAATAAACTTCTGTTATTTCAATAAACAAAATTTAATGAAGGATATGTTATCATAATATTCTCTTAATAAACTCAATTCTTTCATTGCTTTGAAAGTCATGAAAATTTAAGAATTAGATATAAGGCTACATTTATATTTTTCATCATCTTCATTCTCCATCGCCGCTTTTCCTTTCGGGTCGCGGAGGCAGACGCGTCAGTCAGAGTTTCCAACGTTCCCGATCCTGTGCCAGAGTCTGAGCTTTGGCAGAAGACAACTGAAGTCCGGAACGAACTCTTTCCATATATTTGCACCAGGTTAATCTTGGCCATCCCCTGGGCCTTCTGCCGGTCGGATTTGCAGGTAACAGTTGCTCAGCCTTCCTTTCTGGAGGCATTCGCATCACATGCCAAAACCATCACAGCTGTGACTTCTCAATCTGGAGAAGCAAAGGCTATATACCAAGGCTCTTC